AAACCTGCTCAATGTTTACTCTAGATTAGGAGTAGTAATGCAAAATCTGAAGGAATTTGAGTAGTAATAGAATTGTCAACTTCTGACATTTTTTCTTTTTTATTTTAATTTTTATTGCTTTTTTTTTTTTTTTTTTTTAAATTTGATTTCAGATAAGTTGAAAAATTTTGGTCTTAATTTCATCCTTTTTATAAATAATTTATTAATTACTAACTTACATCATTTATTCCTTTTAGAAAATCATTCGATCTAAATTAGATAGCAAAATATCTTTGTAAATGATGATTTTACTGATGTGTATTGATATTGTAATCCAAAATCGAACGATTTTTTTCATCATTCGGTTTTTCTTCTTGAGAAAAACCGAATGATAAAAAAATCATTCGATTTTTTTCATCATTCGATTTCTCTTCTTGAGAAAAACCGAATGATAAAAAAATCATTCAATTTAATAATGACTTATCTAAATTAGTCAAGTTACCCACAACCACATATTGGATATATGCTAGGTGTTCATGTATCTGTGCTTACATATATATGTCGTACCCCAGATTGGAATCTGCCCGATTCAGAATCCGGCTGTCCCAATTCAGAATCAGAGTAGCCGGATTTAGAATTCTTATACGGAGTACCTGGTTCAATAATTAGTAAGGTTAGGATTAGGGTTAGAATATTAGTATAGTGAGCCAGGTACCCCGTATAAGAATTTTAAATCTGGCCGTCCTGATTCTGAATCGGGGCAGCCAGATTCCGAATCGGGCAGATTCCAAATCCGGGTACAACATATACATACATATATATATATATATGCATCTTCATGATATGATTTTGTCAGACTGGATAATGTCAATCAATTTCTCAACTAACTTATTTACAATATGACTTTGCAGTCTGTTGAAAAGGTCAGCAAAAAAATATAATCCAGAATTTAAGATAAACTGATCCTAAAAAGCTTTATATTACTGTTCAATTTGTTGTTTTAATAAATCAGACATTTTATAATATTATTAAAATTAACTTTTGAGTACATATATATAAATATAAGGTTGGGATAAAGATTAAAGGTTATATGAGTGGTGGAAGCTTCTATAGTTTTATTTTATTCTTATCTGAACATTCATATACTAATAATTTGACCGAAAGCTATTTTTTTGAAATATAAAAATAAAAGAATTTATATACATAAATAAAAAGCTATAAAAAACAGAGTCTGATGAGAAATGCCAATTTCAATAAAAAGAAAAAATTAATATATGATCAAAACAATATAGTTATTAACAAAGAAACTTAAGAACTAAAATTTATAAATTTATTTAGTAATCAAAAACATATATTATTTGAATTAGTAGTATAGAGGTATAAGCATATATATCTATATAATGAGGCTATAATAAGGTCATAACTTAGTTGTCTCAATATAAAAAATCTTTTAAAATAGGCTGTAACTAGTAACAATAACATGTTCATATATGTCTGTTTAGTGTTTAACATCTATATATTTTTTGTATACTAAAATATAAATATATAGTTTATATGACAAAATACTGCTATTATAAATTAGCCAATCAGGTGTTATCGTCTAGCCATGTGGCAAATTCTGGTTAGGAGCATGCCTTTTAGCAAAAGGGCATGCCCTTTAACCCTATGCCCCCAACTCTATAGTATGGAGAATATAGATGATAAAACACAAATGAATATTGAAGACATAAAAGAGAGTATTAGATCTGAGATTCTTTGGTTCGAAAGAAAAGAGAAAGATTATAGTCAAATAGAAGCAAAAACTCATTATAAAGCTCTGATGAAATTATTAGATGAAGAAGATTCCTTTTAGTTTCATTGTATATATAGTAATAAATTTCATTTTTGTAGTATTTTCTTTTCATTATTTTCTAGGTCTTCTTTTAACTTTTATCTAAAATTCAAATTCCTATCTATCTATATATATATATATTTTTATTTTTTTGTGTCAATTTTAAAATTTTATTAGTATCAATTTAATAATGTTGTGAGAAAAAAAAAATTAATCCAAAATATTATCTTTATATTACTCCCTCTCTTTATATGATTCTTTCAAGATCATATCTTTATAATCCCATTGAATTCGAATTTTACTATTTACTGTAATGGTTTAAATGAATTTCGATTGTATTGCTTATATTCGGTTTGTTATCATGATTCTTTTAGTAACATAATTCTTCAATTCGTCAGTAAATTCTTATTCATTTTCATTTGAATACGAATTATTTTAAGTGCACCTGATCTCTATAAATTATAATTAACCTAAAACTCTTATCATCTAATATTTTTTTTAAATTCGAGATTGATATTCTTAAATGATTAAGTGATCTATTTCTTATCTCACCGATTTAATTTGTTTAAACATAACAACTAATCTTAATTGCAGAATCCCATCCCGATTTAAAAACGAGGTCAAGTGCAACGGCACTGTTCGGTTCACGTGACTCTAATTATTGTCTTGATATTGTACCTTCGGGTGCCTATTTATACTCTTTAATAGATCTTTAAAGTTAAGCAGTTTACTTGTAAGTTTATCTTTAGGCAATTTAGCAATTTGGTTGATAACGTTAGAATAATTATATCCGCTGACTGGAATTTTTTTATTTTGCCAAGTGATCTTTATCCTATGCACTACTATGGTTTAATATCTTTTATCATCTTGGTAGTTCTTTACGAATACCATGTGCAGTTGGTCCATTAAAAGGAATAGCATCTATACATTGATTCGTTAATTGAATATAATACTCAGGAGTGTCTTCAGGTGCAATCCATTGCTTATTTTTATAGCTAACATTCATATTCAAAGTTAAAATGAGGTTTTCTCGTAAACATCTCAGCTATAATACTAAAACGTCTGTTAAATCTGAATCATCATTCTTTCTAGATAATTCTAGGTTTCTCCAATTAAACGCATTAAAATTTAAAGATTGGAAATTATGAAGACGTCTTTTACTAATCAATTGTTTGGACGTTAACTTATCTATTAGAAGGAATCCATTCTATTATGTCATAGTAATTCCTAGCTTTAAGTTGAACTTCCTTAATGTGATCATCGACTTATTATCATTCACAAAATATCACAAAAGTTACAAAATTTTAATTTTACCACAAAATTTTATAAATTTTAGTCAATTTTTTTTTAAATATATGTATGCATATAATTTCACAATAAAATACATAATTTCATAATAATTGAGATTTTTTACAGTAAATTTAATTCATGAATATAACATTAATTGTGAATTAGAATTTATGTATATTGGAATAATTTAGCAACTTGTTTACCTATTCTTTTTCAAATTGCAAATATTATATTTGGCTACCCGTATCAAGTTGTGCTGTTGAGCGTAGCTTTTCTTTATATAGTATCCTTTTAGATAATAATCATCAAATTTTATAACAATTATCTATGATGTATTTTAACCAAGATTAAATTTTTTATAGAAATTTTTAGAGTTTTCTTTTTATATTTCATATAACGATATTTTCTTTATACTGTATTTTTAGAGCCTTTTACTTATAAATAAAAAAATATTTTACCTGTCATCGACCCACAAAATCGCACAAAATCGCTTCAAATTGATCCACAATAAATCATAACTTTATACCGCCACAAAATTGCACAATATCACTTCAAATTTATCACAAAAAATCACAAAAAATCGTCCCTGCATGCGATTTTGATCTATTACGTGACTCGTGACAAAAAAGAATATAATGGGGCAACAAATAAATTTATCCTAAAATAATTTGAGTAAAATTATCGATACTGTATTATTATCGTTAGATGAGTGACGCCAAGAAAAACTAAACTTCAGGTTTTCATTATTTATTAGTTATTCTTGACCAGCAACATAAGTAAGGCTGTCTAATAAATAATAAATAATAAAAAGTATTTGTCTTGGCATCATCATATACAGTTAACTCTAAACCGAACCCGGATAAACTGAACACTCCATAAACTTTATCTAAATTGAATCTAAATTCGTTTAGACACTAAGTTCATTTTTTAAAATAATATTTTTTTTATTTCCATTTTTCGATAAGGTTTGGCGAAAAAAGATACTTCTAAAACTCTGAATGTAAATTACGTATATTTTTTGAAAATCATGAACAAAGAACATTGATACGAATAAAACTATATCCTTTTGAATATATCACTTGGAGTTTGACAAAGAAAATAAAATTTCCTAATTTGGAGGCCTGTATTTTATATGTTTCACGTGGAATTTAAGATCTCCAGTATTAGAAATTAGTATGTACTAACGCATGCCAGGGTTTTCTCGGCATCATCAAATTCGTGTTACAAAATATCTGTACAACATGTCATTTAGTATGTGCTTATTGTACGTATTATGTATACATTGGTAATTATTTTGAACATAGTCCAAATTTTATATATGACATAAGATATAAATCTTGTTGTTAATAATAAGTTAATGTGAGAATATCACTTGATTAAGTTTAAAACGGTTGGATAAAATGCAGTTAAATAATACTCAATGCTTGTTGCATATTATGTAATTAAAGCGCCAAGATTAGGTAATACGTTATCCCCCCTTGTGAATTATGTGCAGGGATTTAGAGCTTATCGCCTATACATTGCAGGGTGTCTTGAATAAATAAGAAATCTAAAGATCTATTATTATTTTTTTTATTATAATTATTATTGACAATACAAATATATAATTTTACATATGATAACAGGTTTAATGCGATGTATGTTGTATAAACATGTACAATAATAAACAAGTAATGCCCTTTTTAAACAAAACTTATTTATACAGCTAAATCTATTAGCAATAGGTACACAAAATAAAAAAAATCTTTTTATAGTAATTTTGCATGTACCATTTTCCAAAAGGATTTGAATAAACATTATTACAGTATAAATAAAAATTTATCTCTAAATTAATTTAAAAAAAAAGTGATTGCCTTTTGGACATTTTATGTATTACATATTAAATAAAAGTAGCAGGTAATCATATGAATCCATCTTTTCTTCTTTCGATATTATTCTGATTACTTGATGTTGGAAAAAGTGTATTAACATTTTCAATGATGTATTCGACTATCATGTTTTTGGAATTCATGTCGAAAATTTCGTTAGTAGGATTTGGACCGCGAAGCAAAGTAGGCCCAAATACGACAGATAGATTTTTAGCATTCATGCGGTTATCAGCACCTTGTTGTCTGACCCTGTTATTTACAAAAAGAAATTAGATCTTTTTTTTTTTAATGCGAATTAAAAAAAAAAAAACAAAACAGGGACTTACCTGTCTAAATGTAGCATAAGATGCCTTGTAGTAGAATAGTGAACTCTTGGCAATTTCTGTGTAAGCTGTCGGAATTTTTCGAGTTTTTCATCACCATCTTCCAAAGCTTTTTGGAATAATAAAGAAATAATGAATTGAAGTGAAACAAAGATGTTTGACAAGGATTTTTATCCATTTCCTTACCAATTGCATCTAGAAAACTCTGATATAATTCAAATGTTAATAAAGGATTTGGTAGTTCGCGCAAATAACGTTTAAGTACGCTGGTGACCGCGCAGATATCATTAAATTGATGAGGGGTTTCTAGATCAAAATCTTTCCCTTGGTCAAAAGCAGCTATGATTTCACGCATTTGCGTAGCGCCACCAGATTTCCGGTAAATTCCTTCAAGATCCATTCCTATTGAAATAGTAAAAAAAAGTTTAGATCAACAATCAATTTTATAAATTATCAGATACAAATAATGATATTATATAATATGGTCTAAAACTGATAAACACAGTCTGTCTTAAGACTAGAATAGTCTGGACTGATGTAAGTTAATCTAGACTCTTGAGATTAAACCAGTCTGGACCAGTTAAGTATTAAAACCATAAACCATAATAAGCCAGACTAAATCAGACTGTTAACATCCCTAGACCCGATGTTAAATTTACCTCGAAGTTCAACGGCTAATATACACTTCAATACTATATACGGCACCTCATCTCCATCCAATTCAGCCTGCTTTGTAAGATCAAGACCAAACATACTATTGTGTTCAATTTCATGTTCCGTAGACACTCCATGAGAAGTTGGATAAGCGTCTTGATTAATGAACATTTGGTTTATCATTTTCTTTTTCGCCTCTTCTCGGTTGTGATCATTAGTATGTGCTGGCAAGCCAATAACATTTGTGTTTCCTAAAAATTTGAATTTTCCTTTTCCTTGTCTAACTATCCATTGGAACACTTTTGGTTGCGTAACAACTGTACTATTACGACGGTCAACGTTCCGCACGGAGACAATTGGAGCGTCCGTACATTCGGGATCAATATAAGGAGATGTTTTATTATTTTTGAAAATTTTATTTGCAACTTTTCCTTTACTATGTACTTCAAGCTGCCGTACTAGTTCATTGTTCATTTCAATAAGTTCCAAATTCTTGGCGTTTAGAAGTTTCATCTCCTCACTATATTGGTCTCGTTTGTTTCTAAGTTCTTCTGTTTCCTGTAATAACGAGTCCTTTTCCATTTGAAGTGATTTAATATCGGTCAGGTAGTTTTGTTTGACTAAATCAAATTGAGTTGATAAATGTTTGGCGATAGAACCTGGAAGATTATTTGATACATTTGGAGTGTTCCTATCAATTTTTAAAATAACTTGTTAGAATAGCATAATTGAATTTTAAATAAACATTATGTAAATGAACTTACTCAGCAAGACCAGCTTGCTTTTCTTTAGTTAATACTTCTAATTCATTAATGGCAATCTCTTTTTGCAGATTCAATTCTTTCAACTCATTTTGTAATAATTGCAGCTGGTCCATTGATAACTTTGAATCTTTTAGAATCTTTTCAAAATGTTCCCTATCTAATTTTGCAGTTTCTAAAGTTTTATGTTGAAGCTCAAGTTCAGAACGCAAACTTTCAACAGTTTCTTCAGCTTTACGTCGCAAAGTAACTTCGGTATTAAAATCTTCTTTAACCATTCTAAAATCATCGAATGCTCTCTGACTAACTCTCTAATATAAATGGGTAATATTAATATTTAAATATTAACATAATTATTCTATATAAATTTTATTAATAAAAAGATAGTCAAAAAATAAAATCAAATAAAATACTTTAATCTTTCGAAAATTGCTTTCAGATTCTGCTAACTTCTTTTTTAATTCAAATAATTGCTTTTTCAATTCTTCGGGTGAAGTATCTTCAGGCTCAATAATAATTATTTCATTTTCCTTACTAGAAGCAGAAGTCAAAGACGACATACTATCTTTTCGTTCAGGTGACATAGGGGATTCACCAGGAGAATTATCACCAATAGATTCAGTCTTTATAGACCCGGTTTGTGATTTAAAACTTCTTTCATCGGAAAAGTCAGCAGTAAATAGACTAGGTTCTATCTTTAAATCAGATTCTATTTTTATATCAGACAAAGCATCATCGAGATTTCCATCGTTAGTTTTATCAGAGAAGGATAAAGGAGGTAAAACAGGCGGACCACTATCATAAACACCCTTGCGAGGAGGTACGTCGTTATTAGTAGATGATGGAAAATCTGGACTCGTGGGGGAATTTGAAGAAGGAGTTGATGGAGAATTTGAGTGTGACGGATAGTAAGTTGAATAAGAAGGAATTTCGTTAGGTGAAAAAGAATTTGATCGCTCATCAATATGAGATAATTGTTGTTGATTTGGTAAAGTTTTTTTCTTTATTGAAGATGAAGAGTCAATTTTCCTATGCATACTTTTTGACCAAAGTTCCATTTTATCACTATGATTACTATTAAGAGAAAAGGTATGATTGGAACTGTCGTAAGGTTCGCTCCGTAAACTTGTGATGGAAGCATTTCTAGAATGTTTTTCATTTATTTCGCCGCGATTCTTGGAAGGAAACATTCTCGCAAGATTTTCTATAGAATCATTCCTTTTTGAGAAAATACCGTGTTTTTTTGGTAGATCCTCACGCGATTTTTGTTTATCATCGGAACGTTGATGACCATTAAGTTTTCCAGTTTTATTCTTAAGGATATCAGCAAGCTGGCTATCAAATAGTCGAGAATGACGACGATTTATGACAGCATCTTCAGAAATAGGAAGAGTATGAGATTTTGGTATAGAATCAGCGGATTCCAAAGACGATCTTGGTATTATTGTTTGTTGAGAAACGTCACGTTCGAAAGAACGTTTTGGATGTATAGTGCGATTTGGAGGACCAAGTTTATGGTTATTCTATTTTTTTTTTAATAATAAAAAAATTTAACAAGATCATAATATTGATAAGAATATAATATAAACCAATTATTTAATAGCTTACCTTTGAAGCTTCATCGGGTAAAGAGGGTAGAGATTTGTCTAGTTTAGATTGAGGTAAATGGAAGTTCATCTTCTCTTTCGTCTCTTTAACTTGCTTTGCTTTATTGACCCTTTCGTTATGACACTTCATGCAATATATTCCCTTTTTCGAACGAACGAAAAAATTGCCAATGGATAAGCGATTTCATGATTAATTATTATTATTTTAATTTATTTTTTTTTAATTGATAAACATTTATAAAATTTCATTGCGTCTTCATTTAAACAAGAAGTGATACCGATTTAAATAAGTTGAAAAAACATCCAATACACGTATATTTAATAAAAAATTATCAAATACCTGATTGGTTTTCGCAAATACTAAATCATCAATCTTGGAACGACACTGACGACAACGAAAGCAATCAACATGAAAAGACTCGTCACCTGTAATAATAAGCGAACAGAACATGACAAATTAATAAACAAAGAAGACAAAACTTAAAGTTGCAATAACCAACCTGTCATAATTGTCTCATCCAATATAGGTTTTTTGCAAACGCTACAATTGTATGAACACTTTTCACATATTAGATTGCCATCCGATGAGAGTAAGATATTGGTGTCGTGCTCTATTAGATTGAAACATTTTGCGCATCGAAAACTGAATGATTAATTTAAAGGAAAAAAGTAAATAATAAATAAGCTGAAAAGGGGGAAGGAGAATTACTTTAAACAAACTAAAAAATAAATTTAACAAAAGAACTTACCATTCAATATGCCATATGCCATCGCCGAAAGCAACAACATTTCCTTCTTCTATAAGGCTCTGACAGCCCATACAACAGGTCTCAAAATGCATAACGGATATTTACTGATGAAAGATTTTGACTAGCAAGAATATTAAAGATATATGTACACAGAAAAAAAAAGAAAGACGATAAAGAAAATTACATAGAAAGTTGTAAAAATGAATTAATCAAAATATATAATTTGTTTTACTAAAGTAGTAATGACGATGTCTATTAAGAGGTGAGAAAAGTGAATAATAAAAATCTTTCAAGTTTTAGTAAGCTTTCGAATCAAAAACAATAAGATAAAATGTCGAGTACTATATGTATGTATGTATGGCTATGTAGTATCACTTTTGTTTTCGTCACATACGTACAAGCGTGAACGACGCACATGGTCTACTTAATGCAAGTACGAAATTTTGATTTATGCAAATTTTTGACTTAAAAAAACTGGAGTTGCATAACTTTAATTCAAAACAATGTAAATTCTTTCTTTAACAATTCACACAATAGCAATTCACCGAAATTTAAATTAAGTAATTTATTGAGTACGAATAATTCTTGTTATATATAAAACTTACTTGCCAATTCTTGGAATTATTATTAAAATTTAATTTAGATCTTCCGAAGTTTCCACAATGAAATTTCTAACAAGGAGAAATGAAATATAAATAAACCGGTTACATCTTTAAGCAATGTGGATCCAAACAAAAGATTTTGTCAAATCAGAGATCTTTAAGACTTTAGTGCGCTAGATATAATTGGAAGCTATGTGGCGCAGTATGCTATAATCTCGTGATTTTTCGATATATCAGACTTACAATTCTCCAAAATTTGAAACTAAAAATTTGGCTAATAAAACTGAACCAGAATATAATAAGCAACTCCTTCCGCTTTAGATCCAATCTTTGGCATTTTATTTGGTAACATAAGGTAATTTGTTAACATTTAATATTAACGGCGTTGTTAGATAAAATCGTTCCTGCGTACCCCTGTGTTTCGAATCTTTTGCCTCATATCTTAATAATGTGAAAATTTCTAATGTTTGAAAAAATTAAACTTGTTAATTAATAGTTTATACATCATTATTTACTGAGGATTGTACTTATCTACGTAACTGGCGCGAAATAAATATAAATTTGGCTTTATTTAATAATAAATTCGGTAAAAAAAAGTAATATTATATGGTACAAGTCGATTATACGGAAATACGTAAACTTATCGACGAATTTAATTACATAAAGAAAAACAAGTGTCTTTGAGTCTAACGTTACATACTATATCGATATTGCACAAATTATATATCAGCGTTAGGCACAAATATAAACATTTAATATCACTGTATATTCTTAATACGTAGTGCGTAATAGTGTTGCAATATTTAATTATTACTTACTAACGACGCTAACGATAAGTAATTTTTATTTTCCCGGCAAAGTCGATCGTAACGCTATTTGTTGGGTATTAGAGATAATCATATGCACAGGTATGTAATTTTTTGTTATCATGAATTTTACGATTTAAATAGGGAGCTGACACTTATTACGTAAATATAACCCCCGGCTCAAACATAGTTTGATGTGGTCGGATTCGTATTACCGGGTATTTTATTAATTTGGTAATATCGATTTTTCAAATTATTTGTTACATTAGTACATAATTTGGGTAC